TTTGATATATTATACATATAGGTACTACATGTGGACCTCCTCTCAGATTTGTTCATTTTCTAATGATATCTTCTGTTCTTTAATTGCCATGTGCATTGCTAACAGCGGAGCTATCTCAGCCGACAGGCTGCTTGTTTACATTTTTTTGGTAATTATTCACACTCTGTTGCTAGGACACGGTTCATTATTATCTTAAGTTCTGTAGCATTGGAATTCACTAAGTATTGATATTAAAAAACTGTGGTACCAGTTTTTCCCCATTGCTTAATTAACAATTTATGTAACCATGGTAACCAATGTTGTGATTGCATGTTATCACTGCCTTTGTAATCCAAGACTAAACAAGGTTAAAGCGTTGATCATAAAATTAATTTCTATACATAATTTACTGCTTCTCCAGAAGCACGTATTCATTTTCAGTCTGAATATTTGAATGGCTTCTTTTGGCTGCTTCAAAGCAATATAGTGACTTTAAATATTTAAGCAAGTTTTGTTGATTAGTATTTAAATTACTAATATTTCCCCTTTAGTTGTATGGAAATATATTCATGCGAGACAAATAAGGAATTGAAACATCTAATTTTTAGAGTATGATAATATTATGACAGTATAACATTTTTGTACCAAAATAATTGTAAGCAAAAATGTTTTTTATTGTCTTTTTATAGAGAAATTTATTATTCTATCAGTTAGGTGACAAATAATTTGCCATTAACCAGTGTAAACTGTTTTGAGTTGTTGTACAGGGGGGATGAGTAATTGGGTGGGTTTATTCATGGTTATTTTGCTGGTAGCAAAATATGTTAAGTTAAAATAGTGAATTTAAAGTTAAACAATAGTAGAATGTCTTGTTTTTTTCACAGCTCAGTGATTTTAAACCTAGTGAATATCTGTGTAATACCCAGTGAAAGTTATGTTTATGATAGTAAATTTCTGTTTGTATATTAAATTGCTAAATTTTGTCTAGTGATTAATTTCTAATTTGATTTTATTGTAAATTACTAAAATTCTCATCTATAAACACTATTTTACAGTGGGAAATTAATTTGGTATCCTAGTATTTTATTTGTCCAATAATGTGACATTTGGGAATTCAGCTAATGATATTGTCTTGTCACAGCTTTCATTTACATTTGTTTATCTGTTGCCATGGAGACTGCAGATAACTGTGTTGTCTGTCAAGAATAATTTTATCATTGGGCTGTATAATATCATTAAAACTACCTTCATATGATTCTACCGTGATTGGATGCAATAAATAGATGATGAATGGCTGTTATTATCATGTGATTCATACACTGCTTTTCTGATACAGCAAATACATGAATGCTCTGTCAGAAGTAAAACAAATCAAGTACAAAACAAATTTTTTTTTAGCTTTTTTTTAGCTCCGCTGTCGACTTTGTCGAGCGGAGCTTATCATATGAGTGATTGTCGTCCGTCGTCCGTGTCAATGTTTTACTTTTTCGACTTCTTCTTGAAAACTACAAGCCTGAATGCTTTGATACTTGGTGTATATGTACCTTGGGTAGACCTCTCTTAGGTTTGTTCATTTCATGTTGATATCTTCAATTCTCTAATTTTGGTGAATATTTTTGTCATTTTTGGTAAAAAGTGATATTTTCGACTTCTTGTTAAAAACCGCAAGTGCAATTACTTTGATATTACATACATGTATATAGGTACTACATGTGGACCTCTCTCAGATTTGTTCATTTTGTAATGATATCTTTAATTCTCTAATTTTGGTGAATATTTTTGCCATTTTGGGTAAAAAGTGATATTTTCGACTTCTTGTTGAAAACTGTAAGTCAGATTGCTTTGATACTATTCATATTGTTCATTTTCTAATGATGTCTTCAGTTCTTTAATTGAAATGTGCATTGCTAACAGCGGAGCTATCTCAGCCGATAGGCTGCTTGTTTTTATCATGGAACGGTTATCAGTGTCATTTAAGAGTCATGCTTTGGTGATTTTATGTTCTGATTTAGTTCTCTGTATTCACAGGCTGTTGTGAAAGTGAAATCAAATACTTCAGTTGTGTCCTCATGCGACAAAAATACTACTATGACATGAATTGGTATCAATGTCTTCGTTACATCATCCATATTGTTTTAATCTACGGTTTTAAATGACATAAACATTTGTCACCATTTACGAAACTGAATAAACGCAATGCATCGAAACGCAGTGCAAAACATTGTTCATTTCACCCCAAATTCACAAAAAAAATCATTCTACAAAAATTGTCATATTGTTGTGGCAGGACAAAAAAGGAACAACCCAGGGGAGTTGCCCCAGTAAGCCACTTGAGAGCATGGCTTGTAGGAAAAGACATTTTCTCTTACCATATCATCTCTGCTATATTTATAAATAAAGTAATAAACCCTGCTTTTGAAATTTGTGAATTGTGATGATAGCAATACTCTGACTAGCTGTTTCTGTTTCACGAGCTGTCCATTTGAAGCCCACCAGTACCCTCACTAGCTGTCCATTTGAAGTCCACCAGTACCCTCACCGGCTGTCCATTTGAAGCCCACCAGTACCCTCACCGGTTGTCCATTTGAAGCCCACCAGTACCCTCACCGGCTGTCCATTTGAAGCCCACCAGTACCCTCACCGGCTGTCCATTTGAAGCCCACTAGTACCCTCACCAGCTGTCCATTTGAAGCCCACTAGTACCCTCACCGGCTGTCCATTTGAAGCCCACTAGTACCCACACCGGCTGTCCATTTGAAGCCCACCAGTACCCTCACCGGCTGTCCATTTGAAGCCCACCAGTACCCTCACCGGCTGTCCATTTGAAGCCCACCAGTACCCTCATCGGCTGTCCATTTGAAGTCCACCAGTACCCTCACTAGCTGTCCATTTGAAGCCCACCAGTACCCTCACCGGCTGTCAATTTGAAGCCCACCAGTACCCTCACCGGCTGTCCATTTGAAGCCCACCAGTACCCTCACCGGCTGTCCATTTGAAGCCCACCAGTACCCTCACCGGTTGTCCATTTGAAGCCCACTAGTACCCTCCCTAGCTGTCCATTTGAAGCCCACCAGTACCCTCCCTAGCTGTCCATTTGAAGCCCACCAGTACCCTCACCGGCTGTCCATTTGAAGCCCACCAGTAGTCTCACTAGCTGTCTCTCTAGATGTCCTCCTGAAACTAAAGTCAGCACCTTTTCTAGCAGTCAATGATGTAATGTCAGTTTCTATGTTCTCAAATTAACTCCTAATATTGAAATTTGACTCTGTTTATGAGAGGTCGCATACTGGCACTGTGATAGTAATCTGAGATTTGACCAAGTCTAGCTTGGATGTTTTACTGTTTGTGTGATGTCTTAGAGCCTTCAAATTCCAGTTCCTAACAGCATGTTGTGCAAATGTGTTTTCTAAACATCTAGGAATGTTATTAAGCATTTTCAACTATGACGCACTGATTCTCAAAATGGAATGTTTTCCAGACACCAGAATTCCATTGTACTGCAGATTAAATATTTCAGTCACATTTCCCCTGTAATTATAAAATCTGATCTTTTTTTGCCCCCCCCCCCCTCCCCCTTTGAGGATCAAAATGCCCCTGCGCTGATTAAATATCTTGACAGTTACCCAGGCGCCTTTAGAATTTATTGCGTAGATTGGATTATCTGCTTTAAAGATTAGTCTTTGCCATCTTCTGAATGTGTAGCTGCTTTAGTTATTGATATGGAATTGCTCCTGACTTGTGATCCATTTTTTAGTGAACTTCTTGTTATTGCAAATTGCCGCTGACAGCTATTAGCTGGGGAAATGCAAAGAAATGAACTGCAAATAATGAACCTTTCTTCTTTGTAGAAGAACACGCTTTTTTTCTGAAAACGTAATTTATAATTTTAGAAAGCAAGTCGTGATGACTGTTATTGTGAGCTGCTCTCAAATGATGGGGAAAAAGCTGGCATCTCGGTTCAGTTTTTATTACGTGCATGGTAAATCAAGCGAAACTATGTGAATCAGGCTCATATTTGCATGAACTCATTCTTTAATAGACAGAGACGAACAATTATTTGGACAGTTTATATGTGACAAGGGAATACATTACCATACGCCTGGAGACATGCTATATTCAATATATAAAAAAACACTAATGATTTCAGTGATGCGGGGGCGGGGGGGCTAATTTCATGCAAGATGTTGATTTTTTTTACTTTGGTATTTTTGACATTAAGATAACGTTAAATTATTTTTGTCAGCTTATGTGTGATGGGTCAGCATGTTTAATGTTTTGTTGTGCATTAAATAAAGCATAGGCTTCCTTCAGAAGTGTTTGTTTGCAAAATAGTTAATTAAAAAAACAGTAGCATTGACACTGATCCCTAGCAGTGCGAGGACATTTTGAAAAGACTCCTTTTGATGTCTTTGTTACTAACGACGTGGTGTCCCATATTCCTAATGACTTAATACAAATGTTTTGTTCTTATTGCTAAAAATAAACTATAATAATACAGCAAGATTTGACATTTTCTTATTTTGTGAAAGTGTGTAATCAAATTTCTTTGAAGCCTCCAAGGTGGGAGATAAGGTATGAATATGTAGATTATGTTATCATGAGAAAATTCAATTGAATCCCTTTTCAGCTGATTACACATTACACAAAATGTTTTCATCAGTTCACAATAATAGCTAGCAAATTAAAAAAATTATTTGTTGACAGCTGAAAATCTCTTGCCCTAACTCCACATTGATAACTTCATCTTGATTTTTTTTGTAATCAATAAGTCATTTTTGAATTTAAAAAAAACATGAATACTGCCATGGGATTTCTTGCATTATTGTTATTATTATTGATCTGGTGTTAAATTTTCCAGTATGGTTCAACATTCTTGAGGAGTTAAAGTTGTTTGATTGTACTGGGGATCCAGTTCCGCATGTTAGCATTGTTGCATCTGGTTCACAGGACTCACCAGAAAAACTCAACTAACTTGTCTTCATTTTTCATTTTTTTTTTCAGTTTTTCGGTTTCTTTGGACTTACCTTTATGGAGTTTATTAAGAACAGCGGAGACTACTGCCAGAGCCAGCACGTGTAAGAAGTCTGAGAGGGCAATTTAGGGTGCAAATAGAGTACATATCAATTTTTTTGATTTTTAACAATTTGCTGAGACAAAAAACAAGACGGATGGGTTAAAAATACCTTGTGTCCATTGAGAGATTTGCACTAGAGAGGTGAAGGTGCAATTTGTGAGAAGAGAAAACTCTAATCTACGGCAGAGATCAATTCTTCGGTGGAATTCTCTATATATTGTTCAAGTTCCATGCCAGATTACACGCATTTCAGTATGGCACGTAATAATTTCCGACCAGCCCCAGCGGAGATAAAGTATAAAGATATGAGGTTCTTGATAATTGACAGACCAACCAAAGCCACCTTGGCTACTTTTATTGAGGTGAGTTCGATTACTCGTGCTGTATTGGAGGAGCATATCTTATACTTTGTCCTCAGTTGACTAAGTACAAAGTCAGAGGTCATTTCTGCACAATCAGAACTTGTTCTCGTATGTTTCTTTAAATGATTAAGTTATAAAAATTGCTCTGCAAATGTTTGCACTCTTTTCTGCGCAAGTTTTAGGTTATTTTTAGACTATTATATTGACACAGAATGAGCATGAATTGATCTTCTAAATGAACATTATTGAAATTATGAGAAATTATAGAAGTTATGACTAAAAATTTTCAATGATTGATTTCCAACCATACCAGTGATACATTGAAGGGAACTATACTGGATCTGTATCGTATTAAAAAATTGATTGAATATGGCAGAATAATGATTATCATTACAGGTTGTGTCCGGTATCATGTAACAATTTACCTAGACTAAAAATTTAATTGGATCAGTATGATGAAATGATTACAAGTACCATATGGTACACGTTTTTGTATTACTTACAACCATTATAATTTGCAATAAATCTATTCTTGTAAACTTTTAATGAAAATGTTTCTGTTATAACCTGTATTGCTTTCTGGATTGCTAATAAGAATACAGCCTGGTGATGACAGTGAATGTGTAAACATATTTCATTTAAAACTGATTAAAAATTTCAACCAAAAAAACATGCCCAATTCAGAATCTGTTAAATACTTGCACAAGGAAAAAAACGAACAGCAAACAAAAATCCACAAATGTTGCCTAATTACTGTCATGACATATTATCCAAGTTGATTAGCCGATGTAGTTTGCAAGAAATGACACTCTCTGTTACAGTAATTATAAATAAAATAATAATTATTTTTATCATTAATTATCAGTAGTAAGTTATTAGTAGTGAGCAACCATTCACTAAATATTCTATTGATCTATCCATCTCATTAATCATTTTATGTAAAATTTATGGTTGCTCTGGTCAAGCTTATTCTGACCCTTTACAGTGATCTATGTGTATAATATTTGAACTCTGGATGATGCTTTCATACTGGCTTATCTTGTGGTTCCAGTAACTGAAAATAACTCAAGTGAGACAAATGCTTACAATGAATGAAATAGTTCTTAAAGCATTGTGTTCCCTCAGTGCAGATTTTAGCACAATGAGCCAGTGATCATGAACTTGCCCAGAAATCTATTTAAATGTTAAAGTTTTCTCCGTTTTTCTGTTTTAGGAATTAAAGAAACACGAAGTGAAGGATGTTGTTCGTGTTTGTGAGCCAACCTATAACACCGACATTTTAGAGAAGGAAGGTATTCGTGTTTTGGTAAGTTGATCATTTAATACAGTTCTATTAGTCCAGCTTTGTAAAATATTGAAACTGTGTTACAGAAGACGCAAGGTTCTAATCACATATTGCGTAAATCTGGTGGTCCATCTGTTGATCCGTATTATATGCATACTTTGTATCCTATTTAATCTATTCAGACCACAAATAAAATAGATTTTTCTTCTTGTCATTGCGAATGTCAGTTAGGATTCTTGCACATTTTTGTGCACCCCATATGTCATGCATGTATTCAAATGCATTATTCAATAAATGGTGAATATTGTTATTGTAGTGACAATTCTTAATACAAAAATATATTATTTTTAAATATTTTCTATGACACAAAGCAAAACCCTGTGGCCTTATAATCTCTATGAAATGTGATCTCTGATCCTGACACTAAGATGATTGTTTGTCAGTGTTTTATAATGCTTTATTCCCTTTCGTCAATGTGTAGGATTTCCCTTTTGACGATGGTGCTCCTCCACCAAACGATGTTGTTGAACAGTGGTTCAATTTATTAAAGATTCGTAACAAAGAGGAGCCTAATTGCTGTGTGGCTGTACACTGTGTATCAGGACTTGGTCGTGCACCAGTCTTAGTTGCTATTGCTCTCATTGAAATGGGAATGAAGTATGAAGATGCAGTAGAAATGATCAGACAGTAAGTAATTGTTGTACAACCCTATGAAGGGGCACTTCAGTTAAGCCTAATCTTACAACAAATTTACTTTCTGGATTAACTTTGTAAATAACATAAACAATAGCGTCCCATTCTTTGGTGCAATCCCTGGACTTGGAAGGTTCCCCTTTAAAGATGTAGTAGCTGATAGTTGACTGCTTAAATTTCTATGAAAGTCTACTACACCCATAAATGTGAAAGTCTACTACACCCGTAAAGCACACAATGCGAAGCACACAATGGGTCTTTACAGTTACTCTGTCCATGGAAGGTACTAACGGAAGGAGCCACGACGCCTATCAAGTGGCCACTTAAGCCTCTTAACTAGTTTATTTCCTTTTGTTTCAACCCAAATTAATCCTGATAGGGACATTGTCTAGCTCATCTTTGATGTCGATGATAGTTTGCGATTGTTTACACAAGTAACGAGTTAGCGGAGTATGATATAACCTCGCCGATTTTTAATGTGACCATAAAATATATGCGCATTATGAAACTACAGTTACCACACGTGCGCACTGAGTTTGTTTAGGTGTGAAAAGTCAAAATACGTATTTCACAACCGGAAATTCAACAGATGAACGTTTGACTTCACAAATTTCACATGTTTTAAATATTAGCAACTGTAACTATAACAAGATTCCGAGTGCATACGACAACAATTCCTAAGGACTCCTAAAAATATTATTACAGAGAAAGTGTCTAGACATGCTCTTCTTTCGATACTATCTTTTCTATTGGTGTTCGCCGATGTCCGGTGGTCAAAAATGTTGACAGTTTCGGGCGCCAAACCCACGCACTGACAATGGTACCATTGAATAATGCAATCGTCACAAGCAATCATTGATTAACTCTCATTACCATTACAAATACAAAATTCACGATATTTCATCAGTTCTTCTTTAATCAATGTTATATGTGACAATTTTCCATAAGAGTTCGCCAAGATTTCCGGAAACAACAGCATTCAAACTAAAATTTGTTTTTCAATATTGTACATGCGTGGTTCGTCTATTGCTTCCGAACATGCTCCGAATATCACCGAATGCTCGAGACTAGCATAACCCATTGTACGAAGGTGCTAAAAGCTAACAAGAACAATGTTTGTGAATAAACATTGACAAACGATCTTGGGGCAAAGCTAAAACCACAGTCCCTCTATCAGGGACTGTGCTAAAACAATAGCGTCGTGGCTCCTTCCGTTAGTACCTTCCATGCTCTAACCATGTCCCCATTAGGTGACGCATGTCAACTATAAATGGGCATCAATACTCATTTCGCCCAATATTTCGCTTTTATAACATTTTATAACATATCACTTAATTTCCGACCGGAAACACGACCACGTTTTTATCCCTTTTTTTCTCACTCGCTTATTAAAAACACTGACCGCTTGTCCAAACACTGAACACTGGCACATGAGTTGTCGAAATGGTTGTTTTAGTGCTAAAGTTTGAGGATTCAATGAGTATTAACCATTATTTAATTTCGAACGACACTTCCAAACCATCATACTTTGTTTCGTTCGCGAACGTACAGCGGGACTGTGTTCCGTTTGAATCCAGGGCTGCTATATCGTTTCAACAACATGATTATCGAGACAATTACGTGATACAGGCAA